TCAGTGCAACTAGTAGAACAACTCCTGTAGACAATAATTTTCTCTTAACTGCAGTGGTATTGTCGGATTATAGTATTCATTTTCACGAATTCCAATGAAGAAAGTCTTGTCTGGTGAGAGGAAGATGACAAAACAGAGAATTAAGGAAGACATGTCACATCTCAAGAGTCCAACTTAATTAAATGTTATTCAGAAGGTCACAAACAATGGAAACAAAAAAAATGATGCCAAGCAGGAAGAAAATACAAGCTTGTGCTAAGATCTTAGTGGGTGTTTTATAAGTGAAGTGGAGTCTTCATTGCAATTTCAATGAGCACTGCTGAGTTCTTGCACACAATATCGCACCTCACTCTTCGGTGGATGACATTTTGTTTATAAACATTTGAAACTAAGCATTTTAAACATTTTAAAATTTTCCAACACCAAAGTAGTTTATGTATTTAACCTTTTATTGCAATATACTGTACAGTATAGTGAATATTAATAAGATATCTTATTTATACAATATATGAAGTGATAGTTTTATGTGTTAGTTGCAACTTGGAATTATACAGATTGTCTGAATTTTTCTGTCTTTAGAGAAGTAAAGTACAGAAAGTAAAAGTGCAGAATATGGGTGTCATCCTGTATGCATAAATCATGTAACAACAACTGTTACGTCCCAGTGTGTTACACCCCAATACCCCTAGACACTTGGGGACGTAACAACAACAGATTAGTGAAATGTTCAAAAAGTGAATGTGCAATTTTGCTCGTACCAGAAAACTCAGTCTGCAGTTCTAATGTCTACTGCCCCATGGCCTTCCTTTGATTTCAAATGTTAGGTGCAGCTCACACAGACAAATAGTAATATCTTGAGAAAATCATAGACTGAGTACAATCAGATTTACCAGCCTTGTCTATTCAGGTCCAGGTTTGTGGTACGACTGTGGCTGCAAGAGTCCAGTCCATTTACAGTACAAAGCGAATGCCAAATGACAGTGTCTTTGTGTTCCACAACCTGTTTAATGAAAGATGGCCTTTTAGATAAACTCTTCCTTATTTCTGTTTTAAAATGTGTAATCCTATCCTGCCTAAAATTTAATTAAACTTAAATTCCAGTCCATCATTAACTTTTTGATCTGAAAAAAAGTCTAAAATTACACCTCCACTTCCAAAATGTTTTGACCTTATCAAGATGGATTGTTTAAAGGTGTAAATGCTTTAGCTGCTTTTATAAGTACCCTCCTTTTCTCAAAAGACATGCACTGTGTGAGGGTCTTTGTTTGATATACAGTATGTGTTTTTATGTATTGAGCAACCTGTGCAGACAGAGCTAAGTACTCCAAATACAAATAACTATAAAGATGGTGTGGATTAGAAGCAAGGAGAGAAATCAGAAATGATTTGGAATGATGTGGAATCAAAACAGGAGTAAGAGACAAAAAAGAAGTTTGAACCTAGCTATTAGTGTTTACTGCAGTTTTAAAATAATAATTATACTAAAGTGCTGTGATTTCCAGTTTTAACTAACAAAAACAATCTCTTCCTACATAAAAATAGCTTAACACCAATAATTGTTTATTATGTTCGACGCAGATTGTGAAGCAAGTCATGCCTGAGATTTCTGTTAAAAAAACAGTGTGGACATATATTGGAGCTGCACAATCTAAATCATAATGGTTTTTGTACATTTTTGGAGTATTTTTAGAATTTTTTAAAACCTTCATTCAAAATTGGACCCTAAGTTTTCAAAAGTGGAGAAAATGTTTTTTTTTCATCAGTCTCAAATGTTCTTCATTTATATTTTGTTTTTATACCTGTCTTCAAACTTTCACTTTTCCCTTTAAGCCTTTAAGATACATATTCACCTGGCACTAATGGTCTGTTTTCCTCATCAAATGGACCTAGATTTTCATTATTGGAGTATCTGAAGAATGCAGAACACATTTTCAAAGAATGTATGAAATTTATTAGGTGACATTCCAGGAACACATGAAGTTAATGAAAAAGAAAACAATCTTAGTGAGTCTGAAACTTTAATTTTCTGACTGTATGAGATGGTTTTCTATAACAGGACTAGTGAAATGAATTTGTTTTTCTATCACAAATATTTCCTGCCAGAATTTGTGTTCCGTGATGATAAACTCTTATTTTGTAGATTCTAATTCCTGGGATCTCTAACTCTGATTCTGAAAGGCAGTAGTCCAGAAGATTTTCTTTGTCCCATGCAATTCCTGCAATCCTAAATTATGATCTGTGCTGACATTCTGTTCAAGATTCTGACTCTTGCCTATTACTCTCTCCATTGATTCTGCATTCTGTGCTTTGTTATGAAATCCATCCATAATCAGAAAGCCATTTATAAATGGTAAGGTCTGTAGCAACCTAGAGCCTATCTCAGAAACATAGGGTACAAGGGACAAGGGACAGCAACCTGGATGGGATGCCAAACCATAGTAGGGTGAACTCACATAAGGAAATTTTACAGACATCAATTCACCCAGCTAGCATGTCGTTAGGAAGTCAGAAACCCAAAGCTAACATATGATGAACATGGAGACACACCTGCACTGAATCAAACCCAAGAGTCCATGACGTGATTCATCTCATCTTTGCCACCTTCCAGTGGAGATGCAGGTGCCCAGAGATCATGAGAAATAAATCCAGGAGACACAGTGTGTCTTAGGGAATCCTGTCTTAAGGATCACAGACATTTTTGTCATGGACATCAAGGGATCACCAGCCATAGCTGAAGGGTGGTGTTTTGGCAGATGAGAAAGTATAAACTCTTGATGCACCTGATTGAGTCCCTTAGTGAGAGAAGTACAGGTCTTTTGAGTTTGATTTAAATTTCGAAGTTTCAAAGTTTGATCTCTCTCATGATGAATGGTAGTTGCACTTTCATTGGTCAGTGTTTCAAATCTCCATTTTTTTTTACATTTTATCCATAAATGTAAAGATAAATAGGAAAATGGGTCAATGAATGGTTTTGTTAAGAGAGCAATTTCAACTTCATAATGAATCATAAATACCGGTGATTGTTTTTGTCTTCTGGCTGGACTTAGAGTTTGTTTTCTTAACACTGAACACTTCAGCCACCCTAGTATTTATTACAACTATGACTAATTTTAAACAAGATAAACTACTTTAACCTGCTTGGTTTCAATAGTTCATTCTCATTTCAGCTATGAGGAAATCAAGGACTATTCCTTTTCCTGTAAATCCAGTGCTCTCTCCCCTCCCCCCATTAAATTTTATATAAATCCCAGGTGAATTTATATCACCTTTAGAAGACACAGTGCCTTGGCAGGTAAGGTATTTAATGGTGTTCTTTAAATGATCGAAATAACTTTACACACTTTTCCATAAGGTCTTAATATATTTCCAGTTCAGTTATTCAATGGCATCAGTCCTTTATAAATGGGTTTGTTCA